GGGCGTGTCCCAGCTCAAGACAGGGACAGTTTCCTCCATAGGCTGGAAGCAAATTGGTCAAAGGTTGGTTGGCAGGGAGCTGCCAGTGTTTTTGTGGTGCCCAGGGTGGGCATCAGAGGCTTGGAGGGTCGGGCATCTGCCTGCACAGCAGTGGCCTTTGGTGGGAAAGCAGCCTCTGGTACCCACAATGTGCGCTAACGGTATTCCAATAAAACTTTATTTGAAAAAGCAGGCGGTGGCTGGATGTGACCTGACCCCCTGGGCCAGTCATCAGCGTCTAGCCTGTGCCCTTCTGGCCCACCATCCTGAATGTGCTAGCGTCTTGTCCTGGGGCTCCTCACTCACCCTCGGCAGGAGGGCTGCCTCCATGTCCCCAAGGACGGAGGAAGGCAGGATCTGGTGGCCAGGGTAAAGGACATTTCTTGATCCCTGTGGCTGCCTTTTAGGAGGAAGACACTTCCAGAATCCTGCAGTCCCCGGCCCCAGAACACGACCCCAGTGAGGCAGGGAAGGGTGGGAGGGAGAGCGGGGCCGGGCGGGGCACGGCGTGTGGTCCACAGCTCACGCACCTCTTTGGATCAGGCCTCTGCACTCAGACTCAGCCACCAGGCGAGGGCCCGGCACATGGCTTCCCTCGTCCCTAAAGACTGGAAATGTGAGACACCTGGAGCGTGCAGAGGCAGAGGGGGACAGGTGTGTGGGAGACAACTACCGCTCCAGACCAGAAGAAACGAAGGGGCGGTTCCCTCAACGGCCTGTGCCCAGCTGTCTCTGATTATCATCATCAGAACTGGAAGGAGCCCCAAGACCTCACCTGGTGAACGGCTAAGCAATGTGTCCATGCATAGCATGGAACACCCTCGGCCATGCAGAGGACGAACAGGGGCACTCGGGACCATGTGGATGGACCTCAGAGTCGTCATGCAGACTGACGTCAGCCGACACGGGGCTCGGGGAGTCCCAGCATGTGGAATGTCTACAACATGCCACGCCAGGGGGAGGCTCTCCACCAGGACTTTTGCCTCCCAGGGGACACGTGACAAGTTCTGAGGCATTCTTGGTGGTCACAGCTGGGGGTGCTGCTGCTGAGCCCCCTGCTATAGTGCCAGGATGGCTCCCCCAGAGCCATCGGGCCTACTGTCCCTGGAGCCCACCCTCTCTGGCTTGTGTCCTCCCTGTCCCCAGGTGAGCCACACCGTCCTCAGGCCTGGCATTTGTCTCAGTGTTCTGCTTTTGTGCCTGTTGCTGCTGTGCCACTCACATGCAGCTGGTCACGTGACGCTGGGCTCAGTTCTCCTGGGCGTGTGCCGAGGAGCTTTGGTGGGTCACGTGGGCATTACACGGTCAGCTTCTGGGGGGAATTGCCGGCCTACCTTCTGTGTCCCTGTCTTTGGTGAAGGTAAGTGAACCACTGCCAGGTGTCTTTCAGCCACACCTGCTGAGGGTCTGCTCCTGACCAGGCCCACCATGGCCTGCACCTACGAGCCCTGTCCTCAGCCACTTAGAAAGGGGCAAGAACGGCCCCAAACATCGGCTTGGACTCCATCACTGGGGGAGGTCATTCATCTTGCTGGCCGGCTCGAATGTGCCGCTGGTTTGACCATGACCTGGTGACATCATGAGAGACCCTGCCTCTCTGCTGCTCCTTCTGCTCGTCAGCTTTGGTTGATCCTGTTCTCTCTGTGGTTGCTAGGTGGTGGCCGATCCTAGGACTCCCTCCATTTCTCTTCCCTCAGTCCTGTTTGTAGAGAGAAAATTACTTCTGAAAGTTAGAGTGGAAAGTTTCCAGAAAAGAAACTTCCAGGGCACTTCTCTTGCATTCACTGACTGAATTGGGTCACATATTAATCCCTGAGCCAATGACTGTACTAGAGGATTAGTGGCCTCTTATTAAACCTCAGTCCCACCCGTGAGGCCAGGTGGAGTCGGCTTATGGCACAGCTGCCTCAGTGAAAAGGGGTTGGTTACCAGGAAAGGGATGGGCAGGGCTTTTGCACATGAGGAGCTCGAGGCCCTGCAGGCGACATGTCCAACCCTTGTAGATCTCCTCTGTCCCCTGACCTGCTGTCGCTCAGCAGACCTTTGGGTCCCTGGCCAGGTTCTCCCACGGTGCTGTGGACTCCATTCCCAGCACTTGGACTTAAGGTGTCTGGAACGGCACCAGGTTTTCAGGTCAGGCATTTTTATTTTGCTCTAAAATCCTTCCAGGGGGGAAGCATAATTCCTAGGGGCTCAGCTTTAATGGTTTCTTTTATAGAATCATTCGAGTTATAGGTGGATGAACTCAAGGAAACCCTGCTTAAGAATGCAGGATAGCTGGCGCTAAGAGGGGTGGAGGCCAGGCCACGGCGGACGGAGAGGGTTTGTTTCTTTAAACATGAGCTGTTAAAAAGCCAAAGTGAACCCCTGGTGCTGATCTGGTCTTGAGAGATTTCCTTGACTCCTGGCCCGTCTGGCAGAGTTAATTCCAGATGTGGATGAGCCAGGGCCCTATGGAGACATTGTTCTTGTGGCCTTGACTCCTCTTCCTGACTTTGGGGCATCCTAGCTTCAGTGGTCAAGAGTCCTCGAGAAGCCGGGCGCAGTGGTGCACACCTATAATCCCAGAGGCTCAGGAGGCTGAAGCAAGAGGATTGAATGTTCGAGGCCAGCCGCAGCAACTTAGTAAGATTCTGTCTCAATTTAAATAAATAAATAGGAATTAGGGTGTAGCTCAGTGGTAAAGTGCCCCTGGGTTCAATCCCCAGCATCAGAAGAAGCAGAAAAAAGATTCCAGATTCTCAGGCAGCCTGACTTGGGTTCAAGTTCTGCACTGTGGCTCCAAGTTGTGTGTCCCTGGGGGCAGCACTCCGCCTTCCCAGCTGTCCCATGTTAGGTAGGCTTTGTCTTCATCGGATGCTTCTTTCTCCCCTTGGAACTTGTACCCCACCCCAGACCTGACACTAAATACGATTTCCAATGATCTCATCGTTGTCCCAGCCCAAAGACTGACAGTCGGTGCACGGGCTCTGACTCAGGCTGTCAGCAGAGGATGGGACACAGGGATCACTTCCTCCACTGGATGATCCCATCCCCTCCTGGTGTCCCCTTCCTCCTGCCGGGCTTCTTCTGGAAACTTCCTTTGAGGCACTCCTGTGCAGTCTCTCCGTACGCCCCCACCTCTTTGTGGAAGAGAAAAGGCCCCTGGGCCCAGCTTGTTCAGCCACACGCTGTCCCCAGGCAAGCTCGTGGCCTCTCCTTTAAACCCCTCGCTGGCCCTGCCTGCTGCCCTCGCTGGCATTTGACCGCTCCTCTGCGCTCCGCACGTGCGCTGTGCCCAGAGGTTGGCTTTGAACGCAGGTGGCTGGCCTGAGCCTCCCCAGGCCAAATGTCTCTCTGGCTGGATCCATAGCCACACTCAGACTGGGACCTTTGGCCACCTGCCTGGCTGCTCCCCTCAGGTGTCAAGTAGGGACTCCAGACAACGTCCCCTGACCCAACGACTTCCCTCTCCACTGCCCAGCCCTGCCTTGCTTTTCCCGCCGCGGCAAACGGGCGGCCTTCCTTTCTCGGGTCCCGAGGGAGCGTCTTGTCTCTGGTCTCCACATCCTTCGGCACGTTCCGGGAGGTTCCTTTTCAAGACACTCAGAACCTGCCCTTCTCTGCTTGGGACGTCATGTTCTAGTTGAGATGTTTCCACTGGGGAAACTGGGTGAAGGGTACGTGGGACCTCCTGTGGATTTTCCCCAACTTTCAGTGAATCTCTGCTTATTTAAAAACAAAGAGTGAAAAGAAATCCCAGATATGGGTTTAAAAAACGAACCTGGAGAATCCGACCATTTCTTACGGACCACTCAGCGCCCAGGCTGGGCCTTCTTCATCTCTGTCTGGGTGGTTCCTCCACCTTTTCCTCTTCCCTCTGCTCCTGTCCTTGATCTCTGAAGTCCAGTCCCCAGGGACAGACCGAGGTGATCTTATAAGAAGCGGTGTCTCCCACTCAGGCAGTGCCCCGGTGGCCTCCCTGGGCTGTGGGAACACAGTTCCACAGCCTGGGTGGCTCAGAACAGCCTGGCTTTGTTCTCTCGCTGCCTGGAAGACCCACATCCGTGACCGGGGTGTCCACAGGGAGATTCCTTCCCAGGCTCCAGGGAGGGATGCTTCCGTGCCCCCCTGCTGAAGGTGCTCCCGGCAACCCCAGCGTCTGGGCCCCTCTCCCTCCCTGGTGCCTGTGCCTCTGCCTTCACCTGGCCTTCCCAGGAGGACAGCCTGTTGGATCAAGGCCCATCTGGCCTAGTTTGGCCTTTTCTTGAATTACATCTTAAACACCCTATTTTCACCCTCTCCTGAGGCTCTGGTGGGACCACTGCTGGACCCAGTGGACAGTCAAGGCAAAAGCTTGCTGCTGCCCACAGGACCGACACCATCAGGGCTCCTGCTGCCCCTGCCCACTACCCCCCCTCTCCTCTGCAGCCCTCACCTGTGGCCCCCCGCCCCCCTCCAGACAGCTGCCTCTGGGCTCCCTCTGTCTGGAGGGGTCTCCTCCTCATGGTCCTCAGCTCTCCGCTCCAGTGGTCCCTCTGCAGTCGTTAGGGCTGTTGGCAGCTGTGCCCACCCTCCTTGGCACAGAACAGGAATGGCCCCCTCCAAATTAGGTTGACTATGTGACCCACTTTGGCCATGGAACTGTGAGTGGGACTTAGGTGCCCCTGGCATGGGACCATCTGCCAACTGCAGCCTGCCCCTCCCCTGCCTGTTTTCCTCCACACCTACCAGTCCCACCAGTCCCAGGGTGTCCCTCGGCCGCCTCCCCCCTGTGCAAAGTCGGGGAGTGGGGGCTTTTCTCTTTTGCTTGTAGCTGCTTCCAGGTTGCTAGGACAGCTCCTGGCCTGGGGTTGGCTGCGGCCAGGACTGGTGGGTGGCAGAACCATGGATGAAGGGCAGAGGAGATGATGTCTGCAGCACCGACCTGCCCTGTCCCTCCCGGAACCCACCGTCTGTGCGTCTGGCTGCTTCCTCCCTAGGGCAGAGCGTCAACCCCAAGCTGGCGGGCCTGATCGGGCGACACGGGCCCCAGCACAAGCAGCCCTTCATGGTGGCCTTCTTCAAGGCCACCGAAGTCCACCTCCGCAGCGTCCGGTCTACTGGGGGCAAGCAGCGCAGCCAGAACCGCTCCAAGACGCCCAAGAACCAGGAGGCTCTGAGGATGGCCAGTGTGGCAGGTACGTCCAGGGTGGGTCGGCGCAGGGTTTGAGGACCCCAGGGCCCCGCAGAGCCCCGACACAGGAACCACTCCAGATCAGTGTGGGAGCTCCACAGGCGGCTCCGGAGCAGACACAGCTGAAGGAGACCCACATCCCTGCCTGCCCAGAGCCTACCAGCTTGATTATTAATAAAGCTAATAAATCAACTTAGAAATGCAAATGAAAAGCATTAGCACAGCACGATGCAGATTGTGTAGATTTGTACTTAGAGAAAACAGTGGCCACACTGACGCCTCGGAAGGGGAGCTAGGAAGACAGGCAGCGGGCGTGGGTGGGAGGGGAAACAGAGGGAGCTGTTGGCTGTATCTTTCACTTATTTCCTAAAATGAAAAATATTGAGAACTTGTGACCAATTTGATTCCTTGAAAAAAAATATGGGTGGAAAGTGTTTTTGTATATTATTTGGTATACTTTTAGGTGTGTTTGAAATGTTTCATTACTCTAAGAAAAAATTTAAAAATAGAGACACCTGTAAAAATAGAGACACCCAGAACCTCCGGAGGCTGAGTCAGGAGAATCGTGAGTTCAAAGCCAGCCTCAGCAAAAGCGAGGTACTAAGCAACTCAGTGAGACCCTGTCTCTAAATAAAATATAAAATAGGGCTGGGGACGTGGCTCAGAGGTCAAGTGCCCCTGAGTTCAATCCCCGCCTCCATAGAGGTAATATCTTCACTGAAAGAAATTCAAAGATCAATGAAAGTACTAAATGTAAGGCATCCCCAAAGGACAATCCTAGGAGTGGCAGCATTCAGATCCTCACTATAGAGCGTGACAGTTTTTAGCACATGAGGTTTTATCGTTCTTGAGGCTCCGAGACTCCAAGGCTTCCTATTTTACAGAGAAATAAACTGGGGCTCAGTTTAAGTTAAGTAACTTGTCCAAAGGCACGGAGTAAGTGGCAGCCCTGGGATTTGAGCCCCAGGAGCAGGCTGGCTGTCCATTACACTGGAACTACATCCTTATTTAGAATTGCCTGGAGATATCTGCCTGTCCTAGATGAGCCTTAGTGTCCCCAGTAGTCCTCTTGAGGGGTTTTGATGATTCCCCAGGCATTTGCCAAGTCCATGCATGAGCCTGTCCTTGTCTGGGGCTTTGGGAACACGGCTGGCTGGCACACGGTCCCTTTCCCCACAGGCTGACTGGACAGTTGGACACTGATGGTGTCTGGTGGCGTAGGTTGCTGGAACCCAGGATGGTACATTTTGATCTTGATTTAGGGAGCCAGAATCCCCTTCCCAGCCCTGTGGTCACCTGTGGTCACCCACCCTCGCCCACCTTATGCTCCCCTGCACGTGGAGCGGTCCCTGTGCTGGTAGGAGACGCACCTTTATTTCCTCCCAGACTGAAAGGAAAATGTCAATTAACATCTCTAGCAGACGGTTTCCCGGGGACTGTGGTGGTGGCCACCCAGATCCTTGGAGCCCAGGTTATGGCTGGAAAAAAAAACACCAAAAAAACCTCTAAGCCGCCCTTTCCAGGTGACCTGAGCCAGGGAGAGCAGGTGACCTCTAGCTGGAGAAGGTGGTAATGGACTCTCCCCAGAACCCCCAGAAAGAAGGCAGCCATGACACTTAGACTTCAGCAGGCGGCCGAGCTGGACTTAACTCCCGAGCTGCCAGATGGGCAGTTAGCGTGACCTGGAGCTGCCCTGTGGGGTGGTGTGCACCAGGACAGTGGGCAGGAGCTTGCTGCTGTCCACATAGCTTTCTCCTCTGCTGATGGGCTGGGTGTCCCCCTGAGCTCAGCTCCCAGAGCTGGGAACAGTCTGAGGCACAAAACTGCCCTGGTCAGCAGCTGTGGCAGCTGGGGCCTCTGAGCAGACTCCCAGGCCTGGGCTGGTCCATGGAACCACCCAGAAAACTGAGGTGTTTAGAGGTCTCATGGCGAGGCGGCAGCAGCGGCCTCCCAACCCACTTCCCATTGCCAGTGGCCCCTTCCGCCTCACCCAGCCCATCCTAATGTTCATTTTACTTTCCCAGGGAGAGGTAGCCTGCTGGGCCGAGGGGCACTTTTGAGAGCAGGACTTCCTGACCCCAGTGGGCTTCAGTGGCCCAGATGGCTCAGAGTGTGTGCAGGGTTCTGCTTGGACTCCATTCATGCCCTTTTTTAGGTTTCTTGAAAGGGTCTGTGATTTGCTAAATCAAAGATCACCTGATCTGTTCCTTCACACCAGGGGCTCCTCTGAGCTGGGCCTTAGGGCTGGGGCTCAGTGGGGAAGCTCTCCAGGCCGGGCAGGAGGCAGGCATCGTTATCACCCTGTGTGAGGAGAGGCCCAGGATGGAGGACAGTGACGTGGGACTCCAGCCCATGCCAGGGGCAGGCAAGGCTTCCCCTGAGAAGTGAGCAGGGGGCGCTGAATGTGGCCAGGCTGTCCCCAGGGTTTGGCCAGGCAGTGGGACCTGCAGCTGCAGGGCCCGTGACGGAGGCTCCCTGTCATGCTTGAGGCCGTGTGGCTGGGGCAGGTGAGGAGCAGGTGTGGATCCCTCCCCTGCAAGCTGCAGCTCAGGTTTGAAATTCAGCCCAAGAACATGGAGTGGTCTCTCAGAGCTCCACGCTATGTGCAGTGGGGTGGGAGATGGTTCTGGCTGCTCTGAGGATGGCGAGTGCGGGTGGGACACGGGGCTTCAGCCAGAGCCTGGGGGCTTGGCCAAGGCTTTTGCATCCTAGCAGGCTGGAAGTGCTGGCAAGTTCCACCCCAGCAGGCTCTGTCCTGGAGCCCTATCAGAATGAGGGGGGCAGGAAAGAGGCCTCCAGGTCCTGGCCTCCCATACCCGATTCTCCATCAGATCCTCACCAAGTGTCCAGGGACAGGGCCCTCACTCCCCATGGGGCAGCTACTCCACCTGCCACCTCCCTCCTTCCTGTGGATTTCAACTCCCTGGCCTTGTTAAAGCTCTTCTAAACACGGCCTGGAAGTTTAATTTAAAAAAAAAAATCCCAGGTCTGGGCCCCACCCCAGACTTCATAAGCCAGTGCCCGCCCGTGCATGGGCGTGCGTGCCGTGTGTCTTGGAGGTGTGCCCATCTCACGTGATGTGACAGGCCAGGAACCCTGCTATGGGGCCACACAAGCTGAATCCTCTCTCGCACGCAGCTCTTGTGTGTGGGTTGGGGACACAGGCTGCAGCCTGCCGCCTGCCATGGAGCTGCTTGCCTGTGAGCCACCCCCAGGGCCCAACGGCTCTTCAGATGGCGTGCTTGGGTGGAGGACCTGGGCCCTCGCCCCACTTGAGCCCAATGCCCTGGTGATCAGCCGCCTCCACCAGACGACCTGTGGGGGTGGCAGCTGGGTCTGCGCACTGGTCGAGACGTGCTGGCTGCTTGGGCAGGGCCTCGTGGAGGTGGAGGCCACCAGGGCAAGTGGCATGTGCTGCCTCCCGCTCTGCTGTGTGGGCAAGTGGGGCAGGACTGGAGAGCCGGGGGCTGGGAGCCTGGCTTGGCTTTTCTGCTACGAAGTCCTAGTGAGACACAGGAGTTCCAGCCACTTTCTCTGGGGCCATTCGGGATCCCAAGAGACCAGAAGTGCAGAGCAGGTGTCTAGGGTCCCTGATGGTAGTGCCAGTGTCTACCCCCACAGCATGTCCACAACCCCCCGTTGGGCCTGGGGTTTGAACAGTGAGTCAAACATCATTGCTTTCAATGTGGTTGGGGAAGTGGCACTTGGGCCTATGGACCCCTCCTCTGCTCCTGGCTGACAATGTTGATCTACCCTGGTGCTGAGCCCTCACGTCAGCTCAGGGTCTTCCTTTACCCTGGACACCATGTACTTGGCAATGGCCCTGGCCCGAGCTGACGTGCTAAGACCTCTTTCTCATTTGGGGCACTTCAGGCAGGCTCCCTGGCCTGTAGGATACTCCCTGGCCTGTAGGATGCTCCCTGGCCTGTAGGATACTCCCTGGCCTATAGGATGCTCCTCGCCTTCTGCCTCCCCCTAGGCAAGAGCGAGGAGGCTGTGGGTGGAGGGAGCTTCCTGCGACCCCACATTGCCACAGCGAGGGTGCTGACGGAGATTTCTGGGCAGCCAGGGGAAGCTGCCTTTCCAGCTCCCTGGGCCCTTCTCCTAGGATGCCCTGGAGCTCGCCCTTTGTGCTTTAGTGACAGCCTGGCCCCGACCCACTTCTCAGTAACCTAGGATTCCTGTGGATGGTGGAGAGCGGGTGTTGGGGGTGGTTCCCTCTTCATCAGACACCCTCGTGGCGTGTCACTGGTTTGAGGGACACAGCCGTGATACTCAGTGGTTAAAAGGTGTGCCTGTGTGCAGTTTTAAATGTCCCTCGGGTGGGCTGGGAGCGTGGACTCCTCTGTGTGAGAGCCCTGGCGAACTGCTGCGAACACTCAGGCAGCTGGCCTGGCGTGGAGGTGCCCACTGGAGCCAGCAGCTGGGAGAGCCCCCGCTGGCCTGCAGGGCTTGCTGTGTGCCTGGGCCTGCACCTCCAGGGCACCCCTGGGGGAACTCAAGCTGATCACACTGTCCTCAGTGGGACAAGCCTGCGCTGGCAGGACCAGTCAGGATGGACTACCTTCAAATTCAGAACCCCACGTCCCGTGCTTGTCAACACTAGAACATGCACTGCCCACAGAACCGAGGGGAGGTTCTGATCCAGGAGCTCAGCAGTGGAATCGCGGCCCCAGCTCTAAGGCTCCCTGCCCTGCCATCTCAGCACCGCTTCGTCTCAGGGCCCTGGCTACCCAGGGGCCTCATTGTTCTTTTGTTGCCAGGCAATAGGAGAAAGCAGGGCATGTTCCCATGGGTCTTCCTTAGGATGGAGGGCCCTCTTTGCAGAACCCCCAGGCCCATGGTTTGAGCTGAGCTCCTTCCTGAACAGTGCCTGCCTCTGGTGGCAGGACGTGCTGGCGAGCTCAGGCCTGGGTGTCCCAACCAGTCACTGGGAAAGGGAAGGTTGCCATGAGGGGCCAGTACCAGATCTTTCAGGAGGGCCACACTGGGTCCATCAGAAAGGCGTGGGGACACAAGCACCTGAGTCCTATAACTTGGGTCAGGTAACGCAGCAAGCTCTCCCTCACCTCCTGGGCCTGCCCTGTCCCTCCTCTCAGACGTCCTCCGGGCCACCTTGCCCACTGGGACGCTCAGCCCCAAGAGCATGAGAGGGGTGAGTGAGGCTGAGGCTTTGACCCTCGTTTACCTGTGCAGTGTGGACTCGAGGCTTTGGAGATGCAGCAGTGAGACTAGAATACACAGGAGGAACCAGACACAGGACGGAGGAACACGCACTGGAGCCTTCAGGCTGTGAGAAACGGCTAAGCGCAAAGGCCCCCCCGTAGGAGCAGCCTGTGGCTGATGGTTCAGGGGTCAGAGCCACCCAGGCCTTCCAGGCAAGGGCCGGAGGTGGACATCACTCTGGGTAGATAGAAAGGTGGAGGACGGACAGGTCATGTTTAAGGAGAAAGCCGCGTGCGTGTGCGTGAGGCGTGCGCAGACTCTGCAGCGGTCCCGAGTGCCCGGGCCTGACCTGAGGCTCACCAACGTACACTTCTGGAAAACCCCGGGGCACTGTGGCTGCTCCCGTGGGAACTGCAGTGGGGTGTGTGCTGGCCATCCGTGGTTTGGCTTCTGTCATCTCTTCCTGGTGCTGTGGGGGACTCTGTTCCAGGTGTTTCTGCCCACCTCTTGCCCCCAAGATGGAAGAAAGTCTAGGGATGCTCTGGCCTCACTCCTAGGCCGCACAGTTGAAGCAGACCCCCCTGAGCAGGGCTCTGCAGCCATGTGGGGGGGGACGTGTGGCGTTTGACCCCTCGTGGACCCCAGGCACATGCCAGCATTCCATCAGGGAAGCCAGTGTCCAGAGGGGTCCTGAAGGTGCTCTGGCTGAGATGGTGAGGGAGAGGAGGGGCCGGGCACCTCCCCTGGCAGGGCCCTGTGCGGGCAGCGCCAGGCCAGATCTCCCAGCCACCCTCCGGCTGGAGTGATCATGCTCCCACTGCATCACGCGGAGGGACGTGAGCGTGTGTGCTTTCCTCCCTGGGTGCTGCTCCTTCACCTCCTCGGCCACACAGAGAACAGCAGCAGTGACCAGAGGCAGGCCTGCAAGAAGCACGAGCTGTACGTGAGCTTCCGCGACCTGGGCTGGCAGGTAAGGGCCCCGCCGCGCTCCCTGGGGCAGCGCCCCTGTGTGCACAGGAGTCATGAACCTCATCCTGCCACTCAGGCTCCGGGTGGCACGTGGCCCAACTAGGGAAGAGGCTGCGGGCCAGGGTCACGGGGCCGTCCCATGAAACCCCTGACAGAAATGTGAGCCTCGACCCAGATCCAGGAGCCCCAACACTGTGGACTCTGAGCCTCGTGGCCCTCCCGCCCCTCGTTCCCATCCTGTGACGTCTGTTTCTCTGTCACATGGCCGGGCCCTGTGTTAGTGCCCACCCCTCCTCCCCTCCCATGGTTCCACCGGGCTGCTCCCCCTGGAGCCACTGTGGGGAGAAGGGGGCAGGAATGAGGGTCCTGCAGGCCGGCAGGCGTCTACCACAAGTCCTGATGGTCACTCACCCAGCACCTCATGGACACGCATGAGTGTCCACAGCCCCTGGACCTGCTGTGGGTGCTGAGGTGCAGCCAGGAACCTGGTCATGTGTCTGTCCCATGGAGGTCAGTGCACTGTCCCAAGATCACCGGGCAACTCACAATGTTGTTCAGCCCGTGGGGAGCTTGTAGTTCAATGGGAGAGTCCAGATTCTTCCATGGGGACTGTGCCCAGACACCCACAAGGCAAGGTGCATGCAGCCAGTCAGGCACCCTACTGTGAGTCTATCCTTGGGACCAGTGACAGCATCCGTGTTCCAGGGAGTGCTGCAGCAGCATCCACACTCGAGGGGTCACGGCTGGAAGATTCTGTGCCCCCGAGAGTCAGTGAGGGGTGCATGGATTGCTGGACAGTGTTCCTGGGCTTGCAGACCCTGGAGGCCAGCGTGGGGTGTGCTGCTCACGGAGCTGTGTACACAGGTGGTGCACGCTGCTGGACTTCCCCCACAGCGCTGGAGGGTCACTGGCCTCTCCTCCAGGCGGGTACACTCAGGCATGGAGGCTTGGCTTCCAGTGAACTGTAATGTGTCATCACCTGGCAGGGGCAGTCGGTTCCTGACTGGTCCTAACACCAGAGTCCTCTCTGCTGTGCCACCTCCTGTCCAGGAGCATAGCCCTGGCTCTGCCTGCCCTCTGGTGACTCTACTTTTTTCTGCTGGAGCTACAGGCTGCTCTTGTTCCTCCTGCCTCTTCTGGACCCCCCTGTTTGGGGGTGTGGCAGAGCCCTGAGCCCATCTGGCCGTGGCCCACGGGAGGGGGGTGTCCATATGGGAGGCAAGGCCCTGCTACTTAGGTTTTCTGTGTGGTTCTGAAAGTGGCCAGCCACTCCCCAGCCGCTGCCCTCTCCTGCAGGACTGGATCATCGCCCCTGAAGGCTACGCAGCCTACTACTGTGAGGGGGAGTGCGCCTTCCCTCTGAACTCCTACATGAACGCCACCAACCACGCCATCGTGCAGACACTGGTGGGTGCCGCCGGGTGCTGTCCAGGGGGTGGTCAGCTGGGGCTACAGGCTGCGGGACCTCAGGTCTTGCTGTGCTGCCTCCAAGCCGGAGCCTGAGACGCTGTCTGGTGGGTCCTTTGCTCCATAAAAAAAGATACTAAGAATTATATTTTACGACTTCATTGGAGTAAAGATGATCATACGTCTGGATGTGAAGTTCCTTCCTTTGTTCTAACTTTAACAGTAGAACAGGTTCACGAGCTCCCAAAGTCCCAGGTGCTGGTTACCATGCCTAACCAAGAAGTGGGCCTGGGGCTGCCGGTCCGTCAGTCTGGACTGTGCTCTTGGGGTCAGATGTCTGTGCTGTGTTGAGACAGTCTTGTCTGCAGGCTCTCTGCCCACCCCAGCATCTGGCCATCCCTGGGGAGGGGTCAGCTCGAGAGTGTCAGGCCCCCTGATGAGCTCGTGCATTCCCCTCCAGGCCCTGAATGTGGGGAGGCAGTCCTTCCAGGGCCTTTGTTGTATTGAGGGTCTAGAGTATGTAGACCCCGTGCACAGAGCCAGGGGCGCTGCAGGGAATAACCCGGAGGGGGTCCCTGGCCTCTGGCTTCATTGTCTTGTGTGGAAAACAGTGCAGTAAACAGATGGGGAGATTTCAGAGGGGAAGAGCGTACCAGGAAGAGGGCAAAGAGGATTGTGTGGTAGAGAGATCTAGGAAGCCCTGGGCTAGTTCAAGTTCATCCACAGGGTCACTGGGAAGATTCAACATGCTGATGAGGTCCAAGCTCGTAGCTCAGGGCCCAGCATACAGAGATGCTCAGGAGATGCCATTAGCACTACTTTACCCAAATTAGCAAGAGTGTTGGGAGTTAGGCACTATGTTCTTTAGCTTGGAATCCCAGGTGCAAGGACTTCGTTATCTGGCTCCCTGCCACCAAGGCTGACTGGCCTTTCCCTGGCAGCTGGTCATGCACCTGGCTGCAGTGCTGCTGGTGACCCGGAGCCCACCACCAGGGCTGCTCCCTCTGCCGGCTGCTGCTTGATCCTGGGCTTCATGCCTATGCTGCGACCTGCCTCTCTGCTCATCCTGGCCGGCGAGTTCGTCCCGGGGAAAAGACCTCCTCGGCCTTTTTTTTCGGCCCCTTGGGGGGAAAAATTTTTTTTTTTTTTTTTTTTTAAGTATGTGTTTTCCAAAGCCTTTCCTTCCCTGGATTATAAACTCAAAAGCCTTTTTCGAATTGAAGATCCTTAGCTGGAAGCGGATCGGCCCTCCCCTGCTGGGCCTGGGCCTGGAGCGTCTTACTGCAGGGAAGGACTGCCTCAGGACCCTGGAGTGTGGGGGGCATGTCCCCGTGCTGCCTTGAGCTCATTCGTATGCTCTTCCAGCCCTCCCTTCATGGCCCATGGGACAGGGTCCTGGTGGCCTCAGTCAGCATCTCACTGGAGTTCTTAAGATGGAAAAGGACTCTCGAGTGACAGTGAGATGATGCTCTGTGGTCATGCTTAAGTGAGGGTGACTCCCCGTCCTCAGAGAGTCCTGGGGGGATGCTCACAGAGGAATGGGCTGATGTCTGAGGTTGGCTTTTAAAATCATTCAGAGTGCAGGGTGGGGGAGGGAAAGATGGACAAGGGCCCATCCTCGAGGATGTCAGGTCCGAGCCTGGAGGCTGTGGGCAGAGGCCCAGGTTTCTGCATGTTGGCCTAGCATACCTCCTGTACTTGTGATCTAGAACATTCTAGAATAGCTCCATCTCTGGCCTGTCTTGAGCACTAGCCACATCCTTTGACCTGCGGTCAGCTTGGGTTGAGTGGCAGCCTCTCCCTTGGCTTTGCCCCAGCTCCCACTCTCCCTGTGGCCTACTCCGGGCTCACTTGGCTGGTTGGTGGCATCATGTGGTCTCTGCGGGCATTTGGGGGTTTATTTTGCTCCTGTTCCAACCCATGCTCTGCCCAGGTCATGATGCCCACAAGCAGGAGAAAGCACTTTCAGTGGCAGGACACAGAATACCTGGCCCCAGACGGCCAAATCTTACTCCTTGCATAGCAGCTGTATCTGTGAGGATGCCCTGTGCTGTGGTCCCCTTGTCTGCACCATGGGGACAGTCCCAGAACCAAGGGAGTGTGTGTAATGTGCTTAGGTCAGGATCTTCTTGGTAATGTCTTCTGGGTCATCTTGCCCAGGCAGTAGATGTCCCTTAGGGAGAGATGGGGGCCAGGCCTGCCCCTCACCACGGGCCATGTTGGGTGTGTTGCAGGTCCACTTCATCAACCCAGACACAGTGCCCAAGCCCTGCTGTGCCCCCACCCAGCTCAACGCCATCTCCGTCCTCTACTTCGATGACAGCTCCAACGTCATCCTGAAGAAATACAGAAACATGGTGGTCCGGGCCTGTGGCTGCCACTAGCCCCTCCTGGAAGCTGAGCCTCTGGGGCCACGTTTTTCTGGATCCGCTGTGTCACCCTGCCCAGTATCTCTCACCGCCTGCCTTGGTTAGGAGCCAACGGACCAGCTGCCTCTTTTGAGACATTCCCTTCCCCTCCCCAGTTGTAAAGGTATAAGAGTCTCAGGGTTGGAGTGCCAAGTGGCTGTGGATCAGTTTTGCCTCGGCAGCATCCTGTGGACAAGCTCCTACAAGCTGCTGCAGGCAAAACCTAACAGGAAAGAATCTCTACAAGGAAGATCTCGCAGCCACAGTCTTGGGCTGTGCTGTCCCCACGATGCTCCGACTCGTTGACTCTGGAGGCAGCGAGGAGACCAGGAGACCATCCGCCAGGCCACCAAACAGGGAGGAAGGCATGGCCAGGGGTGGGCCCTTGTGGCTGAGCTGAAGGAAAACTGGTGGGAAGGTCCTGTAACAAATGTCACAATAAAGCCAATGAATGCAAACGGCTAGGACGTTACAGATATGTTTTCCTCAACAGTCTATCCCCATTTCTTGATTTATTCTGACTTCATAGAAGCTGTGGCCACTGGAGGGTGGGAAGTCCCCAGTTCCATTCCTGTTTCAGTCCGAGCCTGCAGGGCCCCATGTTTACCCAGATCCGCCCAAATGCAGCTGGAGGGAAGGACCAGGTGCACCCGGAAGTGGCCATGTTGGCCCAAAGGAGAAGGTGTGTTGTGGCAGGGATGGACTTGGTGACTGGTTTCCCCTGTGAGGACGGAAGTAGGGCAGAACTTGGGCTGCACCCTGAGGCTGGGAAGCACAGAGGAGACAAGTCCACCGGCCTGCGGGGAGCAGAGTGTGCTTCTCCTCTAAGCGGACCCGTGCTCTTCTCTGAAGCCGGGCCTGCGGGGGCACTGTAGCTTCCTCTCTTCACTTGCTGACCCCTCTTAGAGGGCTCTGCAAACAAACTGTCTCCTTGAAGTGGGTGAGAGGCACCTGGTGGGAGGGCTGAGAGGCCCAGGTGCGCTGGACTCCAGCCGCCAGCAGGAAGGTGACCTCCCGAGCATGTATCCTGGCTGGGGTGACAGTTCTCACATGGTTCTTGGTGCACACCCCCTTTGCCTTGGCCGATGGGTCCCCCAAATGCTATTCACTAGCTTCCAGCTGCAAATGCAAGGCCGTGGGGAGGGCTGGGCCGTCGGCCCGTTTCCTGCCCCTACAGGAAGGGGAGAGCTGTCCAGGCAGCACCCACGGCCCTGCAGAGCCCAGGCCGGTGAGGAGCCCGGGCCTGTGCCTCCTGGAAACATCGGCTCTGCTTTTCTTTTTCTTCTTCAGTAGCTTGGGCTGCAGCCTTTGCTGCCTGGTTGTTGGGGGAAGGTGTTTTTGTTGAGATTTGCTTTGTTTATTGGCAGAGCGGGGGGCTTTTGGGTGACTCCCTCTTGGTTCTCGCTGCGGCTCCCAGCCTCTGGTGAGCATGGTGTACACGTCAACCTGTAAATAGCTGTGATGAGACAAAGAAGTTATTTATTTCCACCTGAAGCTCTTCTGAAACCCTCCTTGCCGCTCTCCCTCGGGACCGTGAGCGCTGGCTTTCCACCTGTATGTCTTCTTATTTAAGACTATTTATTAACCGTTGGATCAATGTACCCACGGCTGTGGCCGAACAGTCCTCAGTGAAAATTCTGTACAAAGAGACAAAATAAAAAGGGTTTTGATTTGTAATAAAAGGAGACGTTTGGTTCTGGTTCTCGGGCCGCGTGTCTGTGCGCACCGCATTCCCTCTGCGCTCCTGGACGGCGGGGCGCTCTCCAGCTGCTGAGGACCTGGCCTTGGCCTGGCCGCGGGGGTGTGGGGTGCGCTGTTTATCGCACAGGCCTGGGGGCAAGGCGCTGGCTCTTCAGTGTTTGGTGCAGCTGTGTGGGCTCCGGGAGGGACACGGAACCAAACAACAAATGTGCATTTGGTCGTCGGGGCCGCGAAGATCCTTAGTTGGATTATAGCTCAGCTGTCAGCAGCTGTTTCGAAGAGACAGGGGGTAAATTAGCTGTGTTTACTGCTCACATAGTTGAAAGATTCAGTCATCCCAATAAAACAGAGGCACAAGAGAGAGAAGGGGGGCACACACCCAAAACTCTGAAGCACCGCTGGCCCCAGGACCGGCCTTGTCCAGCCTGCCTCACTCGGGCAGTTTAGGGGCTGCGGTGGAGCCCAGCTCTGGAGGTGCCCAGCTGTGGACATGGTGAAGGCGGGGTGCCCAGCACCCGGCTGTGCTCCACGTGGCCCTCAGTGGGCGTGGGGAGCAGACTGTGGCTGCCTTTTCTCCTCGAATCTGCAGCCCAGGCACCTGACGCTTCCAGCATCTCAGCCCGCTGCGGACACGCCGCTCTCTCCTCCCCTGTTGCCTCAGACCAAGCTCCTAACAAGTTCCAGCCCCTGCGATTTCCAAACGCTCTTGACATTGTCCTGACGTGCAACATAGCTTTTGTTCTATTTTCCAGGCCCAAGACCAGAGTCCCAGGCGGAGGCCCAGATGCAGCTCTGCAGACAGGCCTCGTCCCTCGCTTGCTGTTTACACGTTTCTAAAAATGTGAATTTGTTGCCAATGGGTTTTTGAAAATCTGAAGTTGGGGGTGAAAACAAAATCCCTTCATCTGGCTTCTCTTGAGCAATCGGCAGATGTGACCACCCTGGGCCCCCTTCCTGTGCAGCAAATTTGGGGCTGAGCAGAGGGACAGCCCAGGCCGCAGTCCCCACCATGTGATATGGTCCCTCTCACCAAGGGGCAAGGCCCAGTGGCCATTTAGAAAATGGTAGACAAATTCATCTGCACCCATGTCCCTGTGAAGTAGCAAAGTATCAGGAGAGGACAGAGCCAGGGAAGGGCCAGCGCCTCTGCTCCCTGGCTGGCCTGCTCCGGCCCTGGGCAGGCCCTGGACGTGAGCAGGCCCTTCCACCCCTGGCTCCCACCCCCCTGTTCGCACGCCCCTTGGATTCTTTCCTTGTCTCTTCTCAGCCCTGCTGCCTGATGGGCACAGAGAGGTGATGGAATTTGCCCCAAGTCCCTCGGCTAATAACCGCGGGAACTAGAAATGCGCCACCAAGTTTGGGTTTCCCCCTGGGGCTCCCCTAAGTTGGAATCTCCTGGGGCTGCTCTGGAAAAGTGGGGGTTCCCAGGCCCCAGCTCCAGCCCTCCGATGTCCTTCCCTACCTGAGTGTCAGTCCCTAGTCCAGGCTGAGTTCTGGACCACGTGCTCGGGACCTGGTCTCCCTCCTGCTTCCAGGCTGTGAGGGCCTTCGTCTGGGGGCATGACCCCCCTGGCTTTCCCAGGCTGGGCGATGGCCTCCCCTGTCATGGACCTTGCTCATCTGCAGACCTGCCCCTCTGTTTTCCTGTGCCTGGTGATCACCCTGCGTGGATCTTGCTGGACACTGGGAACATTGCCAGTGGCCATCGGCCAGCTCTGTAGGAGCTTCTCACGTGGCTGTTTGAGCCTCCTCTCTCCAGATCTTTTGGAGAAGGTGACCATGAGTTTCCTGGGGCTGCCATAACAATTTTCTACAAGCTGGTGACTTAAATATTTATTCTTGCAATTCTGGAGGCTGGATGTCCAAGGTCAAGGTGTACATGGACTGCGTCCCTCTGAGGCTCGGGGGCAGGCCTCCCTGTCTCTTCCAGCCTCTGTGGGCTCCTGACGTTCTTTGGTTGGTTGCTGTGCCACCCGCCTCTGCCGCTGCTTTCATGTGGCCCTCTGTGTCTGCTCTGTGTCTCTGGTAAGGACACTTGTCATGGGACGTAGGATCCACCCAGATAATCCACGTTCATCTCATCCATAGATTCGTAACTAATCTCATCTGCAAAGACCTTTTTCCCATGTGGGGTCCCATTCACAGGTTCCAGGGCTCAGGGGTAGACAGACGTGGTTTGGTGACACCGTCCAACCCGCTGCAGTGAGAGTACAGGTTGCTCTCCCAGGCCACACCCCTACCCAGCCTCCCCATCTTCCCCCCACCCCCCGCTGGTGATGCACTCGGGGCTGGGCCAGGAGCAGGGCTGTGGGGCTCAGAAGGTGTCCAGGGGACCTGGCCGGCTCTGCAGGGCGAGGGTGGCCTTCAGGAGCAGGGACTGCTCCACAGACCTTCCTCTGGCTGCGGCTCCTCGGCTGACTCACGCTGTGTCTGCGCCAGGCACTGCTCTGGGCAGTGGACAAGGGACAAAGCCCAGCATCTGCAGGCAGGAAGCTGCTCTCGGGCGACCAGTGAACACACGGCGGCACAGCCTGCTTGTCGGGACCCTTCTCCATAAAAATAAAATAAAAATTCTATTTTATGACCCCGTCGGCATAAAGACGAATATAAACCAGGCTGAATTATATTCATTTATTTTCTTCTGATTTTAAAGGTCATTAAAATATTTTTTGTGGGCCCCTCACAGCACCACGACCCGGGCACGGCCTACCGTGTCGATGGAGACGCCAGGCCCGACGGCAGCTGAACACCACATCGGGCCGTGGGTTGGGGAGCCACTCGGAGGAGGCCCTTTCAGTGGAGACCTGAATGGGGGACAGAGGGGGCCTGTGGAGGGGATGGTGGCCAGAGGGAGGGCATCTCCACCTGCGGGGTCCACAGGTGTGGAGGCGGAGGTGCTGCGGGGCAGGAGGGAGGAAGGGTGAGATACTCGGGAGCTGCAGCAGAGAGGGGCAGCAGTGAGGCCAGTCAGGCAAGGGGACACTGGCCATGCACGAGTCCTGAGGCCACAGAGGGCCTCTGGCTTCATGTGAAGTGCTCAGGGCCTCAGGAAGGGCCAAGGCCAGGGACGGCATGATGGGGAGACCGGGAGGGCTGCCAGGAGGAAGCGGCACTCTCTCCCTTCTAATCACCTCATCCCCTTGGGAGGCAGCTCTGCGGCGGGCAGCGGGGGGAGCACTCAGGCCTCTCCGCCCAGGTGTGGGCCTCGAGGTGACAGGAACTGAGAAGACAGCACTCACTTCTTCTGGGAAAGACACCTGCCGGCTTCCTAGAGAAATTCACTGAGATGGAGGAGCTTCTCCGGCCACAGAGCAAGAGCA